CAGAGGTCTCCAACCTTGGCAACTTTAAGATTTGTGGACTTCAACTCCCAGAATTCTCCAGCCAGCTATGCTGGCTGGAGAATTCTGGGAGCTGAAGTCCACAAGTCTTAAAGTTGCCAAGGTTGGAGACCTCTGCCTTAGATGATCAAAATGAGACAAAAGCAAATGCAAGAATTGGGAATGGCCAGTCTAGAGAAAAGAAGGACTAAGAGGGACATGATAGTAGTATTCCAGAATTTAAGGGGTTGCCACAAAGAGAAGAGGGTCAACTTGTTTTCCAAAGCATTTGAAGGCAAGACAAGAAACAATGGATGGAATCTAATCAAGGAGGGAAGCAACCTGGAATTAAGGAGAAACTTCCTAACAGTGAGAACAATTAACCAGTGGAACGGCTTGCCTTCAGAAGTTGTGAATGCTTCATCACTGGAGGTTTTTGAGAAGGGACTAGACAGTCACTTGTCTGGAATGGTATAGAGTCTCCTGCTTGAGAAGGGGATTGGACTAGAAGACCTCCAAGGTCCCTTCCAGCTCTATTGATTATCTCTATGACAATTGCCCCTGCTGGTTATGTCTGATGGAAGTTGGAGTACAACAGCTGAAAAACCATACTTACCCCATCTTCATTAGGCACCCCTTTCCTAAGAGGTCTGTAGGGGGCGTGCATAAGCGCACCAACATGCCTACCGTCCCTGTCCTATTGTTTCTCTTATTTTTCTTATATGTATCCATGTATTCATAACTATGTTTTTACTTATACCTATTATCGTAAGTAAGCAATTGACAAACCTAATAAAATAAAATAATAAAATAAAACATGTGAATGTAAGAACAAGTAACAAATACTTTCTTGGCATATAAACAGGACTGCAATGATTTAAAGCTTTGGTCTGGATTTAAAGGTTTTATGCATTTGAATGAGGATAAATGTAGTTACTGGACTGGCAATCTAGTAGTTCCTAAAATTCATGGTTTTGTCTTATGCTAAAATTAATCGGAGTTATAATTTTAAAAAAAAATCCATTTGATTATCTAGCCATAAGCCAACCCTGCTTAAGTATCTACAAATATTTATATATTTATAGGCACAGTGATAGAGAAATAGAGACAAAAATTACCAGATCCTTTAAATTTCTTTTTTCTCCTCTTAGATACATGCATTTACACAATTGAAATGCATATAGTCATGATATATCTATATTAGCGTTGTCCTGGGCTTAGAAAATTCTGTTCAAAATTGCATTTATATTTGTAATAATAGTTCACTATTTTCTTTTTGTACAGAGTCAACAGATTTTGATCTTTCTGATGCTATTTCTCAAGATACCATAACACCTTCCCCAAGAAAGCCAGAAAATCAGGGTAAGCTAAAAGTGAAAAAATTAAAAATTTGGATTCTATAAATTTTATAATTTATCTTTAAATGGGAGAGAGCTCTTAGATTCACTGAAAATAAGTAATGACATTATTTTCTATTAATGTTTGTAGAATGTATTTTTTTTAATCCAGCATTTTAGAGATTTCATTTTTTTGTTTTTGTTAACTAATTAAGACTTTTCTGAAGACAAGCTTGATATAAGACATAAATGGTGAATTGTCAACCATAATTTCTACCTGTATATTGATTAGAAATGAGGGGGGTTCAATCTTAGTGCAAATGGGCAAAATCAGGGTCTATTGACCATGCTTTGAAAGCAAAATAAAGTCATGAAAAGGGCCTCTATGTACTCAAATACAGTTCCTTATTGCTCCTTCGCATATATCAGGAGTATCCTGGAAAGATACTTTTTTTAAGGATGAGAAATAATGTTTCCAGCATTTTTCCCCTGGCAAGATGACTTTTTCCCTACAATAGTCTATAATACCGAGATGAAAAAAAAATTGAATTTTTGTTTATTAGGAAGCTATTCAAACATTCAGGAGGCCCTCAGCTGAACATTGCCTGTGGTAAGTTGAGAACAGTAAGTAGAGGATAGCTTTGACTTTGAAATGAGAGTCTTTCCTTTGTTCCTTTCTTTCCAGAGTGTCCAAATGTTGCCCGAGACATTGTGTTATTGATTGATGGGTCTAGCAGCGTTCGACATACGGAATTTCTTGCAGAGAAGTTATTTGTTGCACTCTTCAGTAAAACTTTTCCTGAAAATACTCTGGTCAGTTGAAGGAATGGAGAACCGCATAAAAGGGACAATATTTTCAATCTGGATTGATTTTTGAAGCCAAGGGAATGGGAGGGAATGAAGTGTTGGGAAAATATTTCGTTCTTCTGAGCAGGACTTTCATAAGACAGTTGAGACAGCTCATCATAGACTTGGGGAGGAGGGAAATACTTTTGTGAGCTATGGTGAGAAATGATGGAAACTGCCTAAAATGTTTACAATTTAATTTGTAGAGAAAGAAAAAAAAAGAAATAAATAAATAAAGAAAGAAAGAAAGAAAGAAAGAAAGAAAGAAAGAAAGAAAGAGGGAGAGAGGAAGGAAAGAAGGAAGGAAGGAAGGAAGGAAGGAAGGAAGGAAGGAAGGAAGGAAGGAAGGAAGGAAGGAAGGAAGGAAGGGAGGGGAGGGAGAGGGACGGAGGGAGGGAGGGAGAAAGAAGACCAGACATTGACTAGCCTCAGCCTCTGGATTGTAAAAAACAAAATTATAAAGTAGGTTTCCTTGTCCTTATCTATGTTGATATCACATGCTATGCCATGTATAATTGGCTAATTAACATGCTGGCTGGGGAATTCTGGGAGTTGAAGTTCACACATTTTAAAGTTGGTCAGGTTGAGAAACACTGGTTTAACCCTATAACTGAACAGGTGGGCTCACACCTTCAAGTGCTGGCTGGTGAGTGAGTGATGATTTCCTGATTCTTTATTCTTGTTTCTTTTAGATTTAATTTTTTTTTATCAGCCAGAAATAGCAAGTGTGATTGGCTAACAGTTCTTGTGAGTTCTAAACTCGCAAACAAACTAAGAATGCCTGAAGGTTAAACAGGCCTTAAAATATATTGCCAGAAATAAATCGGACCCAGGTATAGTTTGAACTGGATTTGTAAGAGTTGAGGGATGATCTAACTAACAGACCCTTCAAAAAGCATCAGCTTGGGAAAGTCTGACCTTGCCTTTTGTGGGAACACAGCTAATTAGTACATGAATATGAATTTTTCAGAAATCCCAGGTGGCTACTTCCACATTAATCCTCCTTTTCCTCCCCTCCTCAGTTCTCCCTTGTGCAGTTCTCCAACAAAATTCAGCAGCATTTTGACTTCAGAACTTTCCAAAATGACCAAAACCTAAACAACCTCCTACAAGAAGTCCGTCAGCTGCATGGCTCTTCCTACACGGCCACTGCCATCAAGAAAGCTGTGTAGGTCTCTGGGCAGCCTTTCTGCTTCCTCAACCCTGGCCTGGGCTCCTTCCTGCTTGGTTGGGTCTGGGGGCTCACACCCCCTATCATGGAGCCATTGCCATGGAAGAATCTTCAACCCTTGGAATGTCTTCTGCCCGACCAGGATATGGGTCTGGAAAAGCAAGTGGGCAATGGCACTTCGGTCTCTCTTTTTCTCTCTCTCTCTCTCTCTGTGCTATTTATTAGGGAACAGTTCACCACACAGAAAGGCGCTCGCAACAATGCCAAGAGGTTCCTGGTGATTGTGACCGATGGAGAGAAAACGGGGGATCCCTTGGGCTATGCAGAGGTTGTTCAGGAGGCTGACAGGGCTGGAATCACACGCTTCGCTGTTGGGGTGAGGTCCAACTTATTTGCCTGTCTTGTCCTTTGTTTCCACATTTTGCTACCCCACGCTCAGGGAGCTTAGATCAGTGTTTCTCAATAGAATAGAATAGAATAGAATTCTTTATTGGCCAAGTGTGGTTGGATGCACAAGGAATTTGTCTTGGTACAAATACTCTCAGTATGCATAAAAGAAAAGACACATTCATTGTTCTATATTAGCATACTCCAAACCCTGAATCCTGATTGGTCCTTACGGACCGCAACCTGATTGGACAACTAAACGGCCGTGATTGGTGCGCTAAGAATCAACCGCGATTGGCCGAGCCGATCGCGGGAGATTCAAAGCCCTGTCATTGGCCTCCAAGCCACGAGCAATTCCTATATGAAGAGTTGCCGCGACTCGCAGGTCTTGTACTGGTCTATATACTCAATAAAGAGCTGAATGATCACTTTTGGTCTCGCGTCTCTGTGGGAACCGATCTACCCGATCTAACATTCATCAAGAATCATAAGGTACAACACTTAGTAAAGTCATAGGTTACAATAAGCAATCAAATAATAGTAGTCAATATAAATCGTAAGGATACAAGCGACAAAGTTACAGTCATGCAGCATGTTTCTGAACCTCAGCAACTTGAACATGGCATCTTTCCCAGAATCACCCACTCATTTCCAAGTTGCCGAGGTTGAGAAACACTGGCATAGATGATAGAACTCAACCAGGATCACATAGAAGGCCACCAGAGCCACCAGCTTACAGCCTGAAGCTTTGTTGTTTTTTCATTCTAGCTGCCTTTATTGTTTTTACTTTGCTTTAATTGTTAGCTGCCCAGAAACATGTACAGTGGTGCCTTGGTACCCAACTGTGTTGAAACTCATCTGATTTGGTACCCATTGCATTATGATGTGAAAATTTTGTCCAGTACTCATTGTTTGTTTGGTATCCAATGCACAAGTCAGAACTTGTCATTGTCTGCTGCCTTTGACTCACTACATTATTTCTTGTGGGGAAAATTGTTTGGTTCTCATCATTTTTGGTACTCATTATGTCTCCAGCAACCAATGATTATTGAGGTACCATTATATAGGAAATGGATGGTCTATAATTTTTTATCAAATCAATCAATCTGTGTAGCATTCATATACATAGACACTTATATCTATAAGTATCTAATTGTAATGAGGCCGGATTATCCCACCTTCCTATCTTTAACTATTTCTACATTAATTTTTATTTTGTTGAAATTAATGGAGGTATTGTGGGATGTTGTTGGAACTCAGTGTGTGGTGTTTGGTCTGTGTGAGTGTGAATATGTACTTACTGCTTTGACTTTTATTTCATGAACTACTTTTATTGGATGGAGTTTTGTAATTACTAGGTTCTTCGGAATTGTACCACACCTTTGTAAGTGCACAGATTAATAACTATTATTATCACCCATTATCATCATTGCTACCAAAATAAAAATAGTCATTGGCTCCAACCCAGTGCTCTCTGTAAAAGTGTGTGTATTGGTCCAGGAAAAAATAGAATAAAAAAATAAAAGTAAGATGTGGTTGGTAAAGAATATCCTTGTGGAGAGCTGGAAGGGATAGCACAAAGCTTTGTCACCAATTTGTCTTCTGCTATAAGGATGGATGTTTTGTGACAAATTAGAGCAGCTGTTTTATCAATAATAAGCAAATTTCCGCTCCCAACAACCATTTTGTGAGTATGCCTATATCACACTCTCAGACTTCCAAATGTACCCAGAAAGTCTAGCTGCCTGTAAAACAAATAATCCTTGTTTAGTGATTGCCTCATTTAATGACTGTTTCCAGTTACAACAGTGTAAAAAATAACTTTGTGATCAATCCTCTCCAGTAAGATCTTTGCAGGTAGGTTAAGCAAAGGAATGCTGAAGTGACAAGATATGCACAATTGCAACTTAGTGACTGTTTCACTTAACAACTCAGTCCCAATTGGGATTGCTTAACGAGGGCTACCTGTATTTCCAAAGATAACCTTAAACATACAGGTTTTCTAATTGCAGCTGTTTGCCAAAATTTCAGTGGGGCCAGGGTGCTCATCATGTAGCAACCAAGAGGAATTTTCCCCTGTTGTCGGTAAGAGTCAGAAAACTGCTTGGTCTACAGTTTCAAGGGTGTTTGGAAACCGTATTTTCCAAAAATCAGTCCAGCCTGCTGGTAACAGTTAATAATTAACCTGCTTAAAACCTAACAAGGAGGAGTTGATATGTAATTATCAACATTTGCAAACTGAACACTCCTTTACAAGTTCTGTCAGAGCTATTTTGGTGTTGCTTTGTGCCAGGTAATACACCAGCTTCCTGCAACTTGATTGAAATGGCTCTAGGCTAGTTTATCAAGCAGAGGGTTTTTGGTTGTCCTCCTTGGTAAATCCTTGCCCCTTATTCTGTTTTTGCCTGTTGAGAATACCATAACATTCTTCCCTGCAATCTTCACCTTTCTTTCCAGATTTCCTGGATTAAAAGAGAAATTTCAGACCGTGATTGCATTGTGGCAGTGTTTCTCAAACTTGGCAACTTTAAGATAGGTAGACTTTCACTTCCAGAAATGGTGGGAGCCAACAATAGCAGAATAATGGAATTGGAAAGGACCTTGGAGGTCTTGTAGTCCAGCCCTGCTCAAGCAGAAGACTCTATATCATTTCAGACAAATGGCTGTCCAAGTCTTTCATTAAAGGCCAGTGATGGAGCACCCACAACTTCTGAAGATAAACTGTTCCACTAACCAACCACATGCATTCAGGTCTTTTACAATGTTTAAAGAAAATATATTAACTGAAGGCAGTATTGTTTCCTGTATCAATAATTGTAGAGCACTGGGAATTTGGAGCAGATGAATTCTGGGTCATATGTAGTCCTTGAAGCTCACTATCCTCCATCTAACAGGGCAGAGGGCCAAGTAGGAGTGAAGCCTATTTCACTCCTTTTCTTCTTCATTTCTAAAACTTCCTTAGGCAATCAGTACTCAATGGTCTTTCACCGACTTTCTTTTTCCTGGAAGGTTGGTCCAGTGGTTACAAGCAGACTGTTCCAGCAGGAGCTTCATGCAATGGCTTCACGCCCTGCTACAGAACATACCTTCCTCCTGAGACAGTTCTCAGATCTTATGAATATCCAACTGAAAGAGAAGATTTGTGCCAGTCACGGTAATAGGATTTGGGATCTTGGGGAATACAGTGGAGGAATACCCATTCATATACTCAAAAGGGCTAAGGGTACCTTGCAAATCTATGCATGCATTAGAGGTAGTCTTGACTTACAATCAAAACTGAGCTCAAAATTTCCATTGCTAAGTGAGACATATGTTAAGTGAACTTTTCCCCAATTTGTAACCTTTCTGGCCACTGTTGTTAAATGAATCATTGCAGTAGCTGAGTTAGTAACATGGTTGTTAAATGAATCTGGCTTCCCCACTAACTTTGCTTGTCAGAAGGTCACAAAAGGGGATCACATGATCCCAGGACACTGCAACCACATAAATAATCAGTTGCCAAGTGTCTGAATCTTGATCACATGACTATGGGGATGCTGCAATGGTCATAAGTGCAAAAAACAGTCATAAATCATTGTAACTTTGAATGGTTACGAAATGAACTGTTGTAAGTTGAGGACTACTTGTATTGTGATGTTGCAGTGAAGACTGTTCCAAATTAGTAATTCAGCCACTTAAAAACAGTTTTCACCTGAAAATTCCATTCACTTTCTCCTCGTATATTTAACAAGGACCATTTTTGGTTCTCCTATAAGCCACGGAGTTCTCTCAGCTGATATCTCCTTATTGTGTATGAATTGTGCCATTCTAGCTACTAAAGCATTGGCACTCATGAATGAATATAAAAGATTGCGAAATTGTTTCATTTTAATTTCTGTCTGCACTTTAAAGAGTAAGGACCAGGTGAATGATTGGATTGATAATGATTTTATTTGCACAAGAATGAATTTGAGGAAATTCTAGGTAATGTGGTGATGGCCTCCATTTTTAAGCCAGCACAAATGGCTTCAAAATGGTATTAGATGAATAAATGGAGGCAAAACATAGCAATATTTCTGCGGGGTAGCTGAAGTCTTGCTATATTTCAAGGGAAGGCAAAAATGCCTTCCTGTCTGGCTTGAATGGGGTGGTGCCATGAATTTGAAGGAAAATGATGTCAGCAACTAGGCTGATATTGAAAAGCTTTGCAAAACAAAACCTGTTTGGTTCTTGGATAGAAGTTCACTGCATAATACCAGGGTTGTATGTTAGGTTGAGTAGAGTATTTGAAAATATATCTTGGGAGAAGGCTATGACATTATTACTTCCAAACTACATGGACATGTCCAGGATGTCACCAGGATTTGGGCTTAACCTGAAGGAAGTTTTACTATACCTTTTAGTTCTGACCATGAGAAGTAAATTACTGCCAAGTGAAGGAAGATAATTTTATTAAGCATCTCGAGATAAACCAGCAACCATAAAATTGTTATAAATATAAAAAAAGATAAACCAGCAACCAATTTTTCTCCTTAATGAAATTCTTGCCCTTTTATTGGAGTAATGCGATGGACAATAATTCAGTCATAGATTATACATTTCTCAGGGAAAGAAATAGTTCTTATCAGTCACTATCTGCTTCATCTTATTGGTTAAAATCCTAACAATCATAACCCCTTTTGCAAATGGCACCCATGTGGCTGAACCCTTAACTTATATATACCTCTGTGTATATGACAATGTAGGGGGCTCTATATATAAAGAGTAGTGGTGAGGAAATAATTATTGCAATTGATTTTGCATGATAAAGAGAGGTTGGAGTGGCAGATCACTGTGAGAAAGTCTGCTTTGTGTCTTCTAGGTACTGTGGTTCCACAGCCCACATTAGCACCCCCAATTTCTTGCACCTCGTGCTCGGACCCTCGTGTGCTGCAGAAACTGGAGCAATTGGTGCAAGGCCTGGATCAAGTAAAATCCAAGTTGGACCAGCTAGCTGCCAAGGTTGGGAAATGTGGACAGGGTTCCCATGGTTAACATAGTTTGCAGGAGGAAGAGAGTGGTGCAAAGAAATGCAGGACAAGCTTACAGAGTTGTATTTTTGGTTCAGTTTCAAGGAGCCAAACTTCCGGATTTAATCTAAATTCCAATATGATGCTGAAGACCCTTTGATGCCAATAAACCATTAGCTTTTCAGTCTTGTATCTACTTTTTAAAAAAATATAGCAACAATATATTCCCGTCCTGTAAAAGCTGCAGAGATGATATTGGAGATACTCACTATATATTATTTATCACATGGCACATTCACATCACATTTCAATAAAAGCACAAGAGATTAAAAACACAAAATATGAAATATAAGGTATAAAATAATATTACAAACGTACGTCTGGTTTACAGATATTTTTTCCCCTTCATTTGTGATAGCCAGATGTCTCAACAAAGTCTCCCTTGTAGGCACTATTTTGGCTTTGTATCACTTATATGTTGGATTTGTTTTTCAGTCGCACAGTTTGGTGATGGTATTTTTACCCCACTTATAGAGGGCATCTACACATCTATCATGGCCAGTGTGAATTTAGATCGGTGTGGTTCATGGGGTTGGTGAAATCCAGGTGGTTTTTCTAAGATGCAAGGCAAAAATTTCACTACCCAAATGATTACAATAACATGTTTAATAACATGATTAAACCAAGGAATCAAGGCATTAAGAAGAAAACAAACCCTACCTTAATTTCTTGGTGCATAAAAGAAAGAGAGAAGGAAAAACGCTGGCAGGGTTTGATGACTTATGTGAGATCTTTCAGATAGTATAGATCAGGAAACAAACTACACAAATTTGATGGAAACTGTTATGTATTGATACAGGCTACAATCTTGATGGTTTGACTGTGCTTTTCCTTCTCTTCTTCTTATACCCCACAGAATTAGAGCAGAGCCAGCCTAGGTTTCATCCTAAACTTTTCTTTGTTTCTCGGCTTTAAAAACGTGATCTTGTGACCATCTCTGCGCAGTCTCATCAATGCTCTGTGAGCTGTGAGGGCTCAGCAGGAATACGTAGCAGATGGCCCTCCATAAATTCCAGAAGCCTTAGGTAGCATGACTAAGAAAGAGTAAGAGATGATGGAAGCTTCAGTTTAGCGTAATCTCAGAAAACACATATTGCCCAATCTGATTCACAACATCAGTTTAATTCAAATCTTGAAGCACGACGGGCAAAAAACCATGCAAACAGATAATCCTGCAGGAAATTTTATTCAGAAGTACTCTCTCTTGGATCTCAGGGAAGTTGTTTCCATATATCAGATGATTATATCTAAAAAGCGTAACATGTTTACAATTATACAGAGAAAATATAAGTAGGATTTTCTCTTTGTAATATAAGAATTCAAAATTATTCAGTGAAATGGGCTGATACCATATAGGTAATCCTCTTACAACCACAATTGAACCCAAAATTTCTGTTGCTAAGTAAGACAGTTGTTAAGTGAATTTTGCCCCATTTTACAACCTTTCTTGCCACAGTTGTTAAGTGAATCGCCGAGTTGTTAAGTTAGTAACATGTTTGTTAAATGATCTGGCATCTCCATTGACTTTGCTTGTCAGAAGGTGGCAAAAGGTGATTGCATGACTCTGCAATCGTCACTAAATGAACTATTGTAAATTGAATACTAAGTATTTAAGAAAGATGGAAACAGATGATTCAATATATACTATTTCAAAATCACTGTTACATATGTACTGATGCACTCTCTGATAGCTTTCAGAAAAGATTAGTCAATATTACTTCAAAATCACTGTTACAAATGATAGCTTTCACAAAAGATTAGTCTCTGATAGCTTTCACAAAAGATTAGTCTCCGATAGCTTTCACAAAAGATTAGTCTCCGATAGCTTTCACAAAAGATTAGTCAAATCCAGAAGAGAATGACAAGTGTTAATAATCAGGATGGTGAAAATAAAGCTTCCATGTTCAGCAGTAGTATATTACAGATTCTGTGCTGCATTGCGACACGCACAGCAGGAAAGGCTTCTTTTCTTCAACTCCTGTGTCAATTTTCACAGCAAATTTGGTTAATCTTTCCATGTAAAGGGATGTTTTAAAAAAGAATGATGGTAATCTTGTCAAAAACTTTAAAATAATCATTTCCTAAAGCGTTGTGCAGTTACGAGTGCCTGCCAAAAAGCTGACAGATTTTCAATCATTGCATGCTGGATAATGAAAGTATACAGATTATAAATTCCTTACTATGAATCACCAGTGTGGGGATATCAAAGAAGTCAAAATGGCGGCCACAACTGTACAATTATAGCTTGTCGCTTTTTACATGCAATTGTTGGAAGAAATATTCATCTGGTTCAGTTCCAAGCCGGGAGAAAGACACTGGAAACATGGAGGTGAAGACCCTGGAGCTGAAGGTCTTTTGTTTTGAATATAGGCTGGCCCAGTCTTTCTTAATGGGAACAAAATATCTGGCGGGGCAGGGAGCTGGGCTCTAAGTTTTTCTCTCCCTTAAGACTTTTTCTCTTTTAGGGAAAATATTTTACCCTGCCTTTTAAAAATATTCCTCAAAATATTTCATTCTTCTAGGAGGGGGTGGGCGCTAACTTTCTACACTATAATGGGACTTTTACTGTACAGTTGGAATCTTGACCTTTTGTAACACCAATACAGAGGGGTGCTTCATCATTCTGCCTCCATCTCAGGATTTCCCAAACTTGGCAACTTTGAGATGCGTGGACTTCAATTCCCAGAACTCCCAAGCCAGCCTGCTGACTGGGGAATTCTGGGAATTGAAGTCCACGCACCTCAAAGTTGTAAAGTTTGGGAAAGCCTGTTTACCTTGACGTCAGATGGAAACTACGGTTCCAGACAAGTATAGATGGTTTCCAGATATTTTTTGGTGTCTATACAATCAAGACTAGTGCTAGATTGCCCGGTATCCAAAACAAAGAATATCTTTTAGCCTGCTGTCTCCATTCAGCTTAGAGATTTCTTTTTATTATCTGTAGCATGAATAATAGTTGTATTTTTTATTATTTATAGTGTTTAGCATTCATGGGTAGGTCAGCTGCTTGATAATACCTTGTTTCACTAATTATTATCTTGAATGAAAGGCAGCAAACTAGATACTGAGAAGCAGACATGATCTAAACTTTGTTTTAATAACTAGTCAGATGACAATCTATTTTTACTATGTAAACTTTTTTTGCTTTGGAAAAAAGCCTCAGTCAAGGACATACATTTTAAGAAACAAGGACTTGCTTTGCTTTAGGATAGAAAGGAATGCTGAATGGTGTTGGTGTAAACTAGATTTGGTTATATTTCTAACTTTCCGTTTCATGCCTCTAGTTTCTCAGGCATACTATTTCTTATTCCTTTCTTCACTTTGCATATTGTTGTTTATCCCCAAAGGGATTTGGGGATAAACAACAGATTTTTATTTATTTTTGCCATGTCTAACAGAGCCTTTGCAGCTATAACTACCTGCAGATTTTTCCCTGGAGACAGCAATAAATAAGAAGGTAAAAAAAGGCATCTGCGGCTGCCCCACAATCAAGAGGTAAGAAATTAAACAACATGCATTCAATTCAGATGAACTGACTGCCTTTGAAATTAACCCCAGTCTAATTATACTTGCACTACTGTATCCAAAGTGAGAATTCTACCAAAAATTGCATCAATGTTTCTTAAGATGCATGGATTTCCATTGGCAATAGGAATGTTTACTGAAATCAACGTCCAATCTTGCATTTTAAAGTTCAAAAATATTGGATAAATGAAGCTTTCAGTCCCGGAACGTGGCATTTTTTTGGGTGAAAAAATAGGTTTCCAATCCAACGACTGAATTCTCCATTAAACCACTCCTTTGAATCCTCAGGCCCAACTTCAAAAACAATTCCAGGATATGCAAAAACGCCGCTTCGACAAACGCCGTTCCTCTTCACTTACATACGCCACTTCCCTTCGGTTCTCTTCGGAAACGATCGAGAAGTCTCGGGAGTCCCGCGAAGAACCAACCTTAAACAGAGGAGCCGCGGTGTGTCGACCGTTCGGCCATCTTCGGCACATTCATGTTTGTTTTTTCTCGACCATTTCCGAATTCCTTCGGCTATTTCCGGTTCCTCTCGGGGAATTCCGGCCTCGCTCGGTCTCCGGGGAAGCAGCAGCTGCCGCACCGCCACCGCCGGAGCAGTAGTTAGAAGTCTTGGCGGAATGGAAGGTACGCGCGGACGCCCCCTCCCCTCCCGACGGTGGGTTGGCGACCAAGCGCGAAGCCACGCCCCTCGCGGCTACGGGACTCGCCAGAAAGGAGATCCCGTTGGCGTCACTCACACTGGGCAAGGTCATAGGTCGAGGCTGGGACGTTTAAGTCGGGTCCTCGGTTTAAAGTTAATTGGCTGAGCGATGTGATAGACCGGGGGCGGGGGGGAGGGGAGACAGAGACGGACGGACGGTTCTGGGTTCCAGTCTAACTCCGTTCGTCGTTCACCGGTCCCTGTTTTTCTTTCAAGAGCCTCAGAGGGTGCAGGATGTGGGCGTGCCCCGCGCCCCGAATCTCCCTGGGGACCCCGATCCTGAAGAGACCATCCGAAGCCTGCAAGCCCAGTTGGCAGCCGCCTTGGCCGAAGTGGAGACAGTCCGAGCTGTGGCTGCAGTGAGTGAAGGCACCAAGCAGGAGGCGGTGGAGGCTGTCCAGCGCCGGTGCCAGGAAGAGGTGGCTTCCTTGCAGACTATCTTGAAAGGTGAAGGAGGGATTGCAGATCGTGGTGGGTGGGAAAGGACCTGGGGTTGTTTTGCCTGAGTGCCTGAAGCCTTTCCTTCTAGACCTGGCCTTGGAGGTGGCAGCTCAAAAGTTTGTTTCCTTCCTAGATACCATTTCCAGCTATGAGGCCCGTCTGTCAGCATTCCAGCGTGACAACCGGGAAAATGTTTGGAGCAGGCTGCCAAGGACCAACCCTCTGGACTCATTGGAAAAACAGATGGAAAAAGTAAGCTATGTACTCCACCTGAATCTCTTTGAGGGCTAAACTGATTTTCCAGTGGGCAGGAAAAAAATAAAACCTATGTCTGTCTTTCTCTCTTCTCTCTCCAGGCACAAGAGGATACTCAGCGACTCCGGGCCATTGTTCTGCCCATGGAGCAGGAAATTGCTGAATTGAAAGCAAAACTGGCCCACGCTGAGAGTCTG